GCATTCCTGTGAGTGTCTTAGCAAGATGCCTTCCTAGCTTCAGTTCACAACTGCTGTTTTGTGACATAACTCTGACAGCAGCTTCTCAAAGTCTGCCTGGTTAACGTTTTTATGTTGGTGGATTCAAAGAGATTTCTCTTAAGCAGTGGAACGTAAAACATCTGACTTAAGTCTATTTTTTTCAGAAATTTGATTCTTTGTTCCTTTTGATAAATAAATAGCTATATCATACATGGAAGTGATTATAAACAGTTTCCCAGTGCTGCGTGGGCTTTATGTGGATGTTGCTTCATGTTTTGATGCTTCTGTTGCTGAATTCCATAGGTGTTTCTCATATGGGGGAAATTAAGCAGATCAAGACACTTGAAAAATAATCTATCAATGACTACTAATCTGTTACAAGCAAGGAAGAGACTTTAAATTAGTTTTTGTTAAGGTTGAATTCTCTGCTTGTTTCAGAATTGTCTTCAGAAGACATTGCTGCCCTTAAGGATCTGTTACAAACTCTGGACTGCCCACACCAGTTCACTATTTAAGCACAATATGTATACATAGAAGTCCTACTGAAGTGCTTTGGGCATAATTTTTTTGCCTGAAAGGTTTCTTGTTTGATTTTTGGTGTGGTGTTGTTTTTTTTTTTAGGCTAGATACTACAAAAATTCAAGGCCTGCTGTATTACAAGCAGGCATTAATACTGCTAATATTCTTTAACAAGTTTTTTTATTCTGAGGACTTTAGAAGTGGTCCCCTAAATCAGGTGGGGTGTGTGTGTGGAAAAGGGCATTCTTTAGAGGAGTCATGGTATCTTTATCATCCAGTAAAGTTATTTATTTTTGTTTATTAGGCTGTCTAATCTACTAAAACCAGTTGTTTTCTATTAGTGCTTTTAAATTAAAGTGGCTTTATTTCATCAAGGGTGGAAGAGCAATAGAACCTGAGAAATAATACTGAAGAGAAAGCACTGGGGAGTGATAATGGTATTACCTGGAGATTTCATTGTATGTCATAAGCAGTTGGACAACCAAGGCAGGGGAGGAACCTGTTTTTCTTGATGTGCTGCAGAAGAATTTCTATGCTGGGAACATGTAAGGTGTGATGTCACAACATAGCTCTGTGGTCGTCTCCTGATACCCTCTGTATTCCTGCAGGATTATTTTGACATCGTGAAGAACCCCATGGACCTTTCTACCATCAAGAGGAAGCTGGACACAGGACAGTATCAGGAGCCATGGCAATATGTGGATGACATCTGGCTCATGTTCAACAATGCCTGGCTGTATAACCGCAAAACATCCCGGGTGTATAAATACTGCTCCAAGCTGGCAGAGGTGTTTGAGCAAGAAATTGACCCAGTTATGCAGGGCCTTGGTTATTGCTGTGGAAGAAAGGTAAGAAAAGAAGTTACTGCTCGTCTGCTACTTGCTTCCTGGTGTTGAAGGGGGAAAAAAATACAGCAGTTGCAGTTGTTAGCTGTTATGATGTGTCAAAACTGTTGAAAGTTTACCAGGATTTGGCAATCTTGAGTAATCTGATTTTGAGGTTTTCACAGATCTTCTAATTCTAGCTAGTGCTTAAATCATCTATTTATATGTAAGCCCTTGGGGAGGAGAAGAAACAGTAAATGGAGGCTTATTTTTAGTAGGGCAAAGCCATTTGCTGTTGCAAATTAAACAGATGTGGTTTTGTTACTGCAGAAGAAGCACTCTCTATTTCACTGTATATTAAGACTGTATTTCCATTGTCTTGTCTGGATACGCTTTCCATCTCTGGAGAAGAGCTAACTTGAGAACAACAGCCCAGTGAATGTTTCTTATGCCTAACATTTATATGTTTGCTTCACTGTGAGATCTGTGCACACAGTAAGGTGGGAGATGGTAGCTGTTTTGGTCACACTTGCTTCCCATTTGGAGAGCAGTTGGAAGGATGTATGAGCACTAAGACAGTCCCTTCCTCTTTGCAGCTGGAGTTCTCACCACAGACTTTGTGTTGCTATGGCAAACAGCTGTGCACCATCCCTCGAGATGCCACTTACTACAGCTACCAGAACAGGTAAGGAGAACTCACTCAGTGCTGTTCCATGCATGCTGCAATCAGTCTGCTAAAGGCATGCATGTATTTACATATACATCCTCTTTATGTGTGCTTCTTTCTGTTTTAACATAAAAATTAGCTGGAAGTGCCCTTGAATAGCTTATCTTGTGTGTTAGTGGTTTCTTTTCTGCAAAAGTTCACTGCAGCCTTTGCTCCCCCTCTTCTTGTTTGCAGAAGCTTGTTGTTTTACTACATCTTTATCCTGCAGTTAATTAAATCTTCTATTATCTACAAATGATATATAAAAGCCTGTTGGTTTTGCTTCCTACTATGCAGCAGTGTTTTTCATGTAGAACACTGAATAAACTTTGCAGCAGGTATATTAGGGCTCCTAGTACAAAATTATACTTGGCAAGTCTTTGTTTTTCTCCTCATCTTAAAACCAAAGAGCAAACTTGTTTTTGTGATGCACATCTTCATTGGAAGGTGTATTCAGATCTTCAGTAGATGGTTGCTTGCTTTTTCTCCCAAAGTTTCCTTAAGGGAGTTGTCTTGCAGCAGCATTAAAGTGCCGTCACTTCTACAGCTTTTTTAAATTTTTGTGTGTGTTTATTTAAGGATTTAAACCTAATTGACTTCTAAAAGAAGGTTTCTTGCTAGACATCTCTTTGCCAGTTGGCAAAGCAAGGTGGGATGCAGCAGGGAGATCCATGCTTTAACACTTGCATCCCCTGGCCTGTCACCAGAATGCACCTGTTGGACCAGAGGGCTGGTTACCTGCAAACTCTGTCACCTCCAGCAGTTTAGTTCCTGCTCTCCTGCTTTCCAACACCTTAAACAGACAAAACCCCCCGAACAACAAAAAAACACAAAGGCTTTTACCTTAAAGCCAAGAGAATTTTACCAATATTGTAGTTTTCTTAAGCATTTAGTAAGGTGAAAACAACCAGAGAGCTACAGGAGTTGTATCTTGACCTTTTTAAGCTTCGTGAAGGTTTATAGCAGTTGGAGGTTTTCAGGAGTGAAGGAGTAGAAAAGCAGCGTATTGTATCCCATAATAACTATTGTAGTTTTAGACTTATGTAATTGTAGAGCTTTTCCTATCATGTCAGTATCTTCTGCTTACATGTATCTGTGTGTAAATCAATGTAGAGCATTTTGTGTAGTTGATGTTAGGTATATAGTCAACATAGTTTGACAGTTCTATAGTTGTCTGTAAGATTTTTGAAGACAGACTTCACTGTTCTTGAAGCTTCTGATGTTTGGCTTTCTCTTTCAACTGGGAGAGAATCCCGTGGCCTTTCAGCATTTATACATTTCAGATGGAAGACCATCCCTCTTCCACTGATATCCTGCAGATCCTCCTGCCAACAGAACTGCTGTGCTGATGTACAAATCAGAGTAGCAGTTCTCCCTTCCTTCTGCTCTCTCCCCTTTCTCATTTTAATTCTTTGCTGTGTGTGGCATAGATTATTAAAATGAAGAGGGTGTGGGTATACTAAAATGGAATACTCTAGTTTAATTTGGTTTAATAATTTGCTGCTTGTGAAGCCCTTTGAGAGATGTAATGCTAATCAGTGCTTTGCCTTGGCTTTCTGCTTTGTGTTGTCTTGTCCTGCTTCTGTGTTTTTGTTTTTGTCCTGAAAACCCCCATTTCTTTGTGTGTGTGTTATTTTTTTTTAATTTCTCCTTCATGCTTCTCATTGTCTGCACTTGGCTTTCATTGCACAAAAAAAAAACCCAAAACAAACCAAACAAAATACCCCAAACCAACCAAACACACCGTGGGGCCCATAAACCTGCATCATTGAATATCCTTGTCGCCGTTGATGACCTGCTCTCTGCTCCTGTCCCTTCCTTGGCCTGCTGGGATTGGTGGCTTCGTTGCTTGGCTTGGGCTGTGTTGTGTGGATGGAGCAGTTCACCCAAATATGGCCTTCTTGCTGACAGGTATCACTTCTGTGAGAAGTGCTTCAACGAGATCCAAGGGGAGAGCGTTTCCCTGGGAGATGACCCATCACAACCTCAAACGTGAGTTTCTTGGGTTTGCTTTTGGGCTGTGCCTTCATCAGCTGTATCATGGTCTGTGGCACTTTCTCAAAGAGAAGTTTAGTTGTAGGTAGTCCTCACTGTAGGCTAGTAGCAAGTAGACCAGATTTCTGTATAAAGCCTGGACTTATGCTGTAGATTTTTTTCTTTAAAATCTGGACTGACAGAACTGTAGTGGAAAATAATCACTTAGTGCTTAAAATTGCATGTATACCAATAAAAGGGAAAGAACAGGAATATTTTTCCTGAAAAAGTGATTCTACTGTAGAAAAACAGCTGTGCCTGCAGGTAGGTGTGAGACATCCTTTGCAATAGTCCAGTGTGCCATTCTGTGTATAGACTGGTTGTGCTGTTAAGCTTGTATTCAACAGAAGCAGGAAACCTTCTTTTGCCATACAAATACTTGACTGTTGGAGTGCCATTTGCTTCTGAGAAGTGGTGGGCAGTTGTTGAGATCATGGTAAAAGGCTGTTCGTGGATTAGTTGCCTTGTCCATGCTGGTGGCATACTAGTCTTTCATTCTGTACCCTCCTCACACCTTCCCTCAAATCTTGAAACTGAATTCTGGGAGGCTGAGAAGCCCTTGAGGGAAAAATGAGTGCCAAGCAGTTACTCTTTGAGCTGTTGAAGAAAACTCTTTAGGGGAGGGCATTGCAGGGACACTGCAGATAGAAGCAGATGAGGAACTTCCTCTTTTCCCACAATCTGTAGTTAAAATGAACAAAAGCAAAAGAGTTGAGGAATGTATATGTTAGGTCCTGCTTACAGTTCTACTCACCATATTATAATTGAATTATTGGGAGGTTGATCTTGTGTCCTTTATCTGATAAGGAGCTTAAAGTATGCTGCAGGTGGCCCTTCAGAATAAGGGCTGAAATAAAAGAATAGGAAGGTTAATGCACCTCCTGCAAGTTGGATTGAGTCTCAGAGAGGCATGGACTGATCTTCTCATGTTATACAGCACTCTCTTTGGGGCAAATTCTCAGAGATCAGGGTGTTGTAGGACTGTTCTGGACTGTTTTGAACCAGGTTGGTGTAAAAGATACCTGGGACCTCACTGTCAAAAAGATGGAATTCCTAGTCTTGCAAATGCTGTAGGGAAGGTAGTGGCAGTGTAGAGTCGTGGCTGGGCTGGGGCTGCAGATTTTGGAAGCTGAAATTGATCCTTAGGTCAGATGAGACCTAAGGGAATCTGAAAGAAGATAACCTACCTTTCTCAGCAGTCAAAGATAACTGGAATTCTCTGCCTTCAAAATATCAGAGACATATCAAATAGTCCTTTCACTAGGAAATACTGAGCAAACTGGTCCAAAACTTGAATGTCAGCAAGTTTTACCATTTATCCCATAGTAAAACTGAGTAAGGGAGCAATGTGGTTCTCTACAAGCTGTTGTCCCATAGTGAAGAATGCTTTCCATAGGCAGAGTCAAGGGTGGCATACACTTCTGTTTTCTGTCACTTTGTGAAGTACAACTCCTTGTAGTGCCACTGAGTGTTGTAAAAATAAATAAATCTGCTTGCAAGTTTTGTCTTGGTGCATGGATATGTGTTAGGGCATGAATGGATGTTGTCTGGGTGTTAACACTGAGTTTTATTGCCTGTTTCTCCATAGCACAATAAACAAAGAACAATTTTCAAAAAGGAAAAATGACACACTGGACCCTGAACTGTAAGTAATACTGTCACATTTTAAACAATCCTTATCTCATTATAATTATGTTGTAAAAGATATGTTGTGCATTCACCATCAGCTTTGGTTTTCAGTGTTTTCCAAATGTCATGTTGCTCTGTTGGCTGGCAGGGGCTGCTCAGTGAGCAGGGTAGCTGGCATCCTGTGCTGAGACCCCAAACCACCACAGCTGTACTTCAGAAACACATAACACTCTGTGTATGGGCCAAAACTGCTGCATTTGGTTGTCTTGAGTGTGGGTTCAGCA